TCTCTCTCATTCCCAGGCTTAGTTGACCTTGGCTGGTGATGTAATGGGACTTGGGTCCTGGAGTCCTGAGGCTCTGACTCTTGGAGTTGAGCCAGATTCAGCCCTACCCACAAGGAGACCCTGCCTGTAAGGAGACAGCTCTGCCTATGAGACAGCTTTTCCAGCCCAGCCTGATAAATAGCAGAGTGCTGGGCCCAGGTGTTTAGTAGTTGTCTACTCAGGAAGTCTGAGGTGATTTCCTGAAAGGATTACTGATGCCTGGGCATTGAAAGTTGGCTAGGAAAAGGGGATGAGACTTTTGAGCAGAGAGTGCTGCATGTCCCTGGAGGGCTACCAGAGAGAACTGGGAGACCAGGGAGGGTGATAATGGTGAGATGGACAGAGCTGAGGCTGGCGGTGAGAATGCCACTTACTGGGCCTTGAGCTGAATCCAATGTGGTCAGGAGAAGAAATCTCCTCCTCACAACTCAAAGACATGAGAAGTGCCTTTTCCCTGAAAATCCTATCTTCATAGCATTTCTTCAGTGTTTTTATTGCCATTTCCCCCATATTAGGCAAGCATATTTATTTTTCCATATAAGAAAACGCCCCCTTGGTGTGAGAAATGACACTGAGATACAAGTCCAGGCCCTGGACAGATTACTCCCTCTGAGCAGGCCTCTGCTGGTATTTGCCTTTCAGGTCTGGTGCTCATCTTAAGGTCACCCCCATCCAAGTTGCCACCTCGCCCTGGTGCAGTGGGGCAGGAGTGGTTTTAGACCTGGTTCTGCGGCAGACGTGTGGCCCTGGCTCTCTGAGCCCAGTGCATTTAGAGTGTCACTGGCAGCCTTGCTGTGCTCTGTGGGAGTGTGTCTGGGCAGGGGCACTGCGTGAAGACCTTTACCCTCTTTGTCTCCTTCTTGCTGAGTGGACCTAAGGCTGAATATCGAAGCTCCACAATCAGAAGAGGAGCCATCATGCGGCCAGCTGGGTACAGGGGAGGATGTGCAGAGGGACAGTATCTGGTCACCTTCTCTGTAGTCCTGACCCTTTTGCAGCAGAGTGAGATGAGACCTGGGAGCTGAGGCCTGGCTCAGTATACAGTGACATCAGGCTCCAGATGTCATGCCACACAGGGCTGCTCTAGGCACAGTTCCCAGACTTAGGTCCATCTTAGCAGGTGGCCTTGGAAAGACTTGAGCCCATTTGCCTTTTTGTAAAATGTGTAGATGAGTACTCCTGACTGGGTTGTATGTAAACCTGACAAGCCGGGTGTGCCGAGCTGAGAGGAGGTAGGTCCCTGTTAGCAGCAATTGTCTCCGTGGAGCAGAGTGGGAGCCACGGCAGAAGCCAGGGCCTGCCCAGCTCCTCCAGGCCAAACTTCCCAAGCAGGAGCCATGCCTCTTACTCCCCTCATTCCCACGCCTGACAATTTGAAGTGCCCTTCCCTTCTTTGCCCTCCCTTACTGCCAGAAATGGAGGTGAGAAGGGGAGTGTCCCAACAATGCCTGGCGTGAGATGCAGCCGGGTGGGGTAGAAGCCTGTGCTGGGCGCTTGGTGGGCCAGGGGTCCCAGGCATGGAGAGGGTAGAAGTGCTGCAAACAGATGGGGCTGGCTTGCTGGAGAAGGTGCTTCTTAGGTTATGAGGCAGTTCTTCTGGGTCCTGGCAGTGACCCGATGACCATTTTCCTTTCCTGAGTCCCGACCAGCATGTCAGCCATTCCTGCCTTTTACTATTACCCCACCACCCTCTGCCACCACTGCTAACTGCCACCACTACCTCCTACTACCATTACCATCTTCCATCTTACTGCCACACAGCCACCTCAGTGCTGCCACTGTAGTAGTTTCACAGCCATCTCACTGCCACAATAGCCACCTCACTGCCCCCACGATCACCTTACCACTACCGTCATCTCCCACCACCACTGTCATGGGCGCACACCTGCCTCAGCCAGAACGTCTGTTACTGCCAGGGTTCGAGTGGAATAGCTTCCTTTGGGCCCTGATGGGTTAAGACTGTACATCTAGGTAGGTGCCCTTTTCTTCACCATGAGCATTGTGGCCAAGAGAGCCTTCTCCTTCTTTGCCTGACCCACGTTCCTTCTCCTACTGATCTGGGGCTTCAGAGATGATGGATATGGCCTCTTTGTCACTCTTCTGCTCCCAGTTCCCTCATGGAGAAAGACATCTCTGGGGAGTAGGGTCAAGGCTGCTTCGCAGGAAGGCCAGGCTAGTCCAGGACACCTCTAGGTGATCTTCCTCGCAAGCCCTGTCTTCAGTCAAGAAGCTTCCAGGGAGGCCTGGCCCGCTGGGGCATGTTTATGGGGGAGGATAGGGGAAAAGAAGAAGAGGTTCTGCAGCCACCAGCATCTGCCTTGCTTTGGCTGCTTTGGGGTCCTGCCTAGGCCTGCTGGGCTACTGGGGCTACAGGATCAAGGCCTTTGGATTTCCCTGGATAGAGCCTTCACAAGGCTCTATCAAGCCCCCCTTCTTTCTCCAAATAGCTCCTCAGGCGCCCCAGGTAGGAGGCAGCTCTAGTTCATCAACTCCTCCCTTTGCACTTCCTGAATCCCTTCTCCACCCTCTGTAGCTCCCAGGATCCTTACCTGGCAAGCTTTCCCAGGTTGAGTCAGAGCAGCCTGATCTGGTCTGCAGACTGTGCGTTTGGCCCCTGATTGTAGACCCAGCAGGCTGTGGGTTCCAGGCTGCCCTGGGCAAGATAACTCACTTTAAGGGAAACATCACCCACAGTGTTGGTCAGCATAGTGATGGGGCTTGATCTTAGACTGCACTGGGAAGCTCTCTGTCTGAGCTCAAGGGCAGCTTGGGTCCCAATCCTATAGTGCATTTGACATTGTTCTGTCTCACGATGCCACTCTTTGTATGTCTGCTGTCTAGAGCTTTTAGAAGTCCTGTCTGAGACCTTCAACTTATTGTAGGTGGCCTAAACCCCCACTGTGTGCCCTACTTTGTGCTAGGCATGGAGGTGATCAGGAGCCCCGTGCTCTGATGGGAGAAGATGAATTGGGTGTCTCGGTTTGGGTTGTGGGGGCCTCCAAGCATAGGGATTTTGGCTCCAGCTCTGACTCCCCTGTAACGCCTAGCATGGTTATTGCCATGGAGTTTGTGGAGGAGGCGGCTGCTGTCAGTCACAGAGGCTCTTTGCACAGAGCAGTCCCACTTATGTCAGCTTTGTGTCCAGCATCAGACCGCATGCGGTCTTGGAGGTGTCCAGCAGGTGTGTGCATGGGGAATAGTGTCTGGTAGCCCCCTGACTGCAAGTCTCCTCAGGGTGGGGCCCAGGCCTGAGGTGTCTGGTGTTTGCCCCACTATAAGCTTTGGCAATGCAAGGGGGAAAATGGTGGTTCAAATCCTGGGATCCCTGCCACTGCTGGAAGTTGGAAACTGAAAGGCAGTGGGTGATGGGAAGGAGGTCTCTGTGGACTGATCTTATGACATGTTCTTCATTGGCTCCAGGAGCTTGGGCCATGGCCATGAACAGGGACAAGACGTGCCCAGGTTCTGCTTCTCTGGAGTTATTTTTGCAGACATGCTGGACATCATCCTCTTTCTCTGTCCTTGCTATTGGGAGATCCAGTAGGACCCTGCTATGTGCTGTTGGCTCTGAGGAAGGGCTTTTACTCTCTTAGCGGGTCAGTTCCACCAAGTGCTGGTACAGATACCATCACAGATGTTTCCCGTTAGAGGCCCTGAGGAAACCAAGATGCAAAGAGGGGAAATGGCTTGCTTTTGCCCGGTATCACCCTCTCCAGGACAAACCTGTTTGTTCTCCTAGCAGTCCATGGTGTATTCAGCACGCTGCCTCCTTGGTGGCAAGGATCCTAAAGCTTCGTCTGACATACTTTGGACATGTTGCAAGGAGGAACCAGTCCTTGGAGAGGGACGTCGTGCTTGGGAGGGTGGAGGGACAGCGCAAGAAAGGAAGACCCAGGATGAGATGGATTGATTTCAGCGATTGGTTTAATGGGGAATAGGTGTGTCGGAGACAGTGAGGTTGGCACAGGAGCAGGGTTTAGGGCTCTTGTACATAAGGTCGCTATGAGTTGCAAGTGACTCAGTGGCATATAACAACAACAAGCCTCTGCCCTTAGGAAGCTCTCATGGCTTAGTGGTAAGAAGTCGTACTGCCAGCACAAAGGCACATGGTTTGAATCCACCAGCTGCTCTATGGGTGAAAGATTACCAGTCTTATTCTGTACAATTAACTGCCTCTGAAAACCTGCTGGAGGGTCAGCTGTGAGTCAATTCTGACTCCATAGCACTTAACAACAAGCCTCCCTGGGGCCCTGAGTCCCAACACATGGCCCCTGAGTCTCAGGGAGTCTTGGTGCTATGCAAACACTGCTGCATCCCTTCCATTGGAACTTTGTTGTCTTTCTGTAAAACTAGAGCAGCAAGGATCCATGTAGCGTTCTTGTCTCATTGTGGGGAGGGGGTGGTAGAGTGGGACTGTTGTGTGTATGGGAGTAGCCTCTGCTGGCAGTCAAGCTCTGGACGTACATTGGTGCAGAGTAACTGCATTGGTCTTGAACAAGGAGAGAAGTGGAAAGATGAGGAGGGACTTCTAATCCCTCAAAGGCTGCTTGGGCTAGGACTTTTCTTTTCCAAGTCTCTGGGCAGACCTGCAGGCTCAAGTGATGACTTTAAACCCCTGAGGTTGCTAAACCCTCAGATGCTTGTTCCCTTAGTGAGGCTGAGCCATTACTCAGAGTCACACAGTGGATAAGAGGAACAGGTGGGTATCTGTGACTCCAGATCTATCCACACCCCTTCCAAATCTGTCTTAAAACACAAAGGACAGTGAGTTGAGAGACGACATTGCCACCCGCTGGGGGGGTGGGGGTGGGGGTCTGGGCAGGCTTCCTGGTGGAGAGGGAAAGGAAGAGGAATTGAGGCCAAGACATGGTGGGCTGGGGAGGTAAATGTGAATCAGCTTTGCTGAGAGGGTGATGAGCTGAGTCTGAATGCCCACTGCTCCCCCTCTGCCCCATCCCCAGGTCCCATCTGATGCCGAGACTGAAGGAGTCACGCTCCCACGAGTCATTGCTAAGCCCCAGCAGCGCGGTGGAGGCACTGGACCTCAGCATGGAGGAGGAGGTGGTCATCAAACCCGTACACAGCAGCATCCTAGGCCAAGACTACTGCTTCGAGGTAAGTCTCGCTGCAGCGAGGGGCCACTGATGCTCCCATCTGGTGAGGTCAGGTCTGCTTTCAGACATCCTCCGATTGCTCCGCGGCCTTGACAGGAATAATCTCTTTGGGACTATGGTAGGGATCTGCTTATGACTTGGGCTCCTCAGAGACCAGGCCTGAGTGAGCGAGGGAAGAGGGACTTCACTTCTGACCTCTGAGCTCTTCTTAGAAATGGACCTATGCTTGTTCCTTGTGCTAGAAAATGAAGCTGGTTGAGGACCCCAGTGGACCAAAGTGATGAAAACACGTGCAGAATTGTAAGGGTAGGCCCCTAAAGCCTTCATCTCAGCCATCCTACTCACTCATTCTTAGAAACCCCAAAATGCAATGTGGAATAGTGGAATATTCCTCTTCTTTTTTTTTTTTCTGGCCTTATTTGCCCCTCTATACTATGAGATCCCAAACCTTGCCTGAATATTTAGTGGCCCAGGGTTTGAGGACCAGTGGCACATTCTGAGCAAGGTTGTTAGAGAGGATTAGCTGTCTCCTTCAGTTCATTATGGAAGTGGAGACTCAGAGAAGGCAAAGAGATAAAACAGATCACATAGCCAAGTTGAGGCCAAGCCATGACCATGGTTACTAGTGTTTCCGGAAGTTTAGGGGTGGGAGGGTTCCTAATAGTTTTTCCAATTATTCATATTCTCTTCCTACCTAAGTTTCTGTCAGGATTATACACCCCTTACATATACACTCTCCACCTCCAATAGTCATGCATAATCAGGGGCGCTCTGGCAGAGGAACGAGCTTGGTAATGATTATCAGCCATTTGGCGAACAGTGTGGCAACCTCCTAGCGTCCCTAGGCCCCAGGGAGAGGAGGAGTGTTGCCTGGCATCTGTCCCACACCTGGACCTACTGGGTGCCATTTCTGGTTCCAGACTGTGGTCATGCAATGCTAGGCTGGAGCTCTGACTTCTTGCCTGAGAGGACTACGGACAGGCATGGCTGTCCACAAGAGGGGCTGCTGCAAGATGTACAGACCCTTGAATGCCAGATACGTGCTGAGTTCTCCAGAAGAGCCTTTTCATGGCTAGGGGTATGGAACAGTGGGAACATACAGAGTAGAAGCTGCCTGCCTGGGAATACTCCCTGGAAGATGTCTAAACTGGGACTGGAAGATGAGCCAAAGCCAGTCTGTTAGGAAGATGAGAACACTCTCTGCGAGGCAAAGCCCCGGGGCCAGCATGCTGACAGCCCAATCCTGACTGCCAGTGTGGCCCCAAAACTTCAGGCTCTTGTTACTGTCACTTGTGGGTTGGCAAAAGAGAGTCCTTGAAAGGTCTGAGCTGAGGTCACTGTACCCATCCCCAGGACCTTGGTGTGTGTCCTTAATGCCTTACATTCCAGTATCAGGGAAGTTGGGCCTGGATTATGAACTGCCTTCTGGCCAGACAGAGAGGCTTGTTCTTTCCCTCCAGCTATCTCGCGAAGAGCTAGGTTAGTGTCAGAAAGATGCTTCTCTGTCTAGACAAAAGGTCTTTAGGGCAAGGGCGAGAATATAGGACCAGTAGATGTTTGAGGGCTGGGCCTCTATCCTATCATTGACTTGCTCTGTGACAGCAGGTCCCTTTGCAGTCCTATAAAAATTTTCTATAAAATAGCCAATCCAAGAGTGTTGACAGGGTCTACACTACGTCCTTCTTAGGTTGTAGTGCAGACCTGACAGCCCTGTCTCCTGAGCCCAAAGGTCTCACACCCACTGCCCAGCTTTGCAGCACTCCCTTCTGTAGCACTGACCTGTCTGTCCCGGACAGGTGACGACGTCATCAGGAAGCAAGTGTTTTTCCTGCCGATCAGCAGCTGAGCGGGATAAGTGGATGGAGAACCTTCGGCGAGCAGTGCACCCAAACAAGGTAGACCAGTGTCAGTTCTTTTTCTTTTTTAAAAAAATTTTTCTTTTTATTGTAGTTTGAGTGAAAGCTTACAAAGCATATTAGTTGTGTTTTTTTGTGCTGTTTTGTAATAGTGAGTGCTTTTTTAAAAAAAATTAAATTTTAAATTGGTTTGCATACAAGATTTGTATACATTGTGTCTCATTCATATACATTGCGTTTCACCATTGATCTGTGCATCCTTTCACATCCCCACTGGATCTTTCCAAACTCCTTCATGCCCTTCCTCCACAGTGTCAGTTCTTGTCAAAGCAGGGGGATTGGGGTTAGACTCAGAAGAGTACAGGCCCAGGTTTGTAGGAGCAAGAGGGGCGGGATTGCTGTGGCATGCCAAGTAGGGCCAAGTAACCAATATGGTCAGACTTTGAAAGAGGAATTAGAGTTGACCACGTAAGGGCTATATTCTCCTGTCTTTAAAGGGACAAATTGGGGAAACTGGACCAGAGAAATGAGTGCTGGCTTGTTAGTGAATGGGACCTTGGGGACCTTCTCTTTAGAACCCTGTCTCCATTTTCCCCCAGCCACATTCTCATCATCCTCCAGCTTAAATACCTCTCTCTCATCCAGGCCTATAGCCCTGGTGCACACAGTTTTGGTGCCTCCTGTTTGTTCCCACTGTCCCCAGGGATCCCAAGTTCAAGTTTATGGGACCATGAATGACCCTGCTTCTGTGTCTGCCTCCTCGGCGGACTAAAAGTAGGGCCTGCTGAGTTCCAGTTACCATGGCATCTCTAAGGAAGGGCCTTAGCTACAATCTCTATTACTTTTAAGGACAAGCAAACAAAAGAAGGCTGTGAACAGTGCCGTGGCCTGTTCTGCATTTGGCATTGCGTCCACCTCTTTACTTGATATCTAACTATGAAGAGTGCATTTTCCCTTTCCTGTGACCCCAAATCAGTCAGCTAGTATGAAGCAGAGCAGCGATTCTCCCTGTGCCTATTGGGCTTCAGAGCTCTCCCTGTTACCCAGGGGTCTGGACTTTCCCCTAAGGACATCACCTTCAGAGACTTTCACAGACTTGAGATCTTTCGGCAAAGTGCAGGCTGGTATATATATGCCTGGGGCTGCAGAACTGCTCCTCATGGACCGCCTGTCCCCCTGTGTTTGTGCAGGACAATAGCCGGCGTGTAGAGCACATCTTGAAGCTGTGGGTGATTGAGGCCAAGGACCTGCCGGCAAAGAAGAAGTACCTGTGTGAGCTGTGCCTGGACGACGTGCTGTATGCCCGCACCACCGGCAAGCTCAAGACGGACAATGTCTTCTGGGGTGAGCACTTTGAATTCCACAATCTACCGCCTCTGCGCACAGTCACCGTTCACCTGTATCGGGAGACTGACAAGAAGAAGAAGAAGGAGCGCAATAGTTACCTGGGCCTGGTGAGCCTGCCTGCTGCCTCTGTGGCTGGGCGGCAGTTCGTGGAGAAGTGGTATCCAGTGGTGACACCCAACCCCAAGGGTGGCAAGGGCCCGGGGCCCATGATCCGCATCAAGGCACGCTACCAGACCATCACCATTCTGCCCATGGAGATGTACAAGGAGTTTGCTGAACATATCACCAACCACTACCTGGGGCTCTGTGCAGCCCTCGAGCCCATCCTCAGTGCCAAGACCAAGGAGGAGATGGCGTCTGCCCTGGTGCACATCCTGCAGAGCACGGGCAAGGTGAAGGTACGTGGGAGCACTGCGGCCTGGGAGCAACACCCAGGGATTCCTACTGTACCACCAAGATTGGCGACACGCGCCAGATTGCCTGCTGTTCCCATGTTCATGTTACTTATTACCGCTCTAGTAGAGATGTTTGGATGGCCAGAGGCAGCCTAATCTCAAGGATTGTGTTCATGGGGCAAAGAGCTTTGCTCTCTTCCATTGCTAACCACTGAGGTCAGTGGACAGGGATTGTACTTATTGTTGAGGAAGACATGCTTTCTGAGACCTTCCACTCTCCCAGAGAGCTGGCCCCCGAGTTCTAGGGCAGAGGTGAGGATTGGGCTTTCCTAAAACATGTAGGCCTAATTCCACTGATCCCAAAGGCCCAAACATGCATACACAAGTAGATACTGAGCTGGCCTGCTGACCTCCAAAAGGATGATGCCTGGGTCTCATCCTGCACTCAGACCTAGACACAGATACGTAATCACTTAGAGCCATTCAGTGGTCAGCCAGGCATGGCTGTAGCTACTACCACAGTCTCATGGAAAGAAGGATGAAGGCCCTCCTGCAGGACTTGGGGAGCCCAGCTCTTCCTCACTACTTCCTGGCATTTCTCAAAATAGTCCAAGCAGTGCCAAGCCATGCACCTGCTCGGTTTTGGTGACAGGTGAGCTCCTTTCAAACTGAAGTGCCTACAGAAGGCTGAATGGAGCGTAGTTCTGTGAAGCTCAAAGGTGAATCTCCCCGTCATTCTACCATCTTCCCTTGGACAGCTGTCCAAAGGAAGTGCAGTGAAAGAGGACTGGACTTGGAGTCCATCACATTGCACAAGGCCTTAACTGTCAGGCTAAGGAGCCTAACTCCTGTCTTCCAGATGGTGGCATAGGTCAAGAATTTGGTGGGCTTTATGGTGGGGTGGGAAATGTTCCTGGTTTATGGTCTTGAACCCTCAGCCTGAGGCCAGGGAGAGACATGGGTTGGAAGCTAGGCTTCAGTTACTGGGAAACCTGGAGTGTCCATGGCATAATGAAGGCAAACCATCCTTTTACACGCTAGATTGGAGAGGCCATGACTACAGAAAGCCTTGCTTTTCTTTCTCCCCACCCCTCAAGTGTACTGTAGTCCCCAGCCTGTGCTGACTCCCCAGCTCCGTGACCTGTCACTGTTGGTCTGGTGGTATGCAGCAGGCGCAGAGCCAGGGAGAGGAACTTGGTCAAGAGATTGATCCTTGAGGAAGCGAAGGAAGGCATTCTGCTCTCTAAATGTTGTTTGACCACCCCTGCCACTCCAGCTTTCAGACTTGAGTGGTGAGCCTGGGGGTTGGATCAGTCTGGCCACACAAAGGCTCTTCTTAATTTACCATCAGGATCAGAAAAGGGTAGAGGTAAGAGTCAGAAACCACGAATGAACTGAGTCTATTGCTCTCAGCCGAGCAGACAGACTCATGAGGTCTTTCTCTGTTGCCTTGTTTATTTTTTTCATTATCCATTCTTAGAAGCTGGGCTGTGCTGGCCTAGGAAACAGGTTCAGATCTGAAAGGATCTTTATTCTTGGCCCTAACAGTCAGGAGTGTAGAAACATGTGGAGACACTCATTGTGGAAGAAAGTAGAAGCTAGGGCCCCAGCCTCCCCTGGTGTACCTCCCAGTATGTAGAAGAATCAGTAGGAAAAGGATAGAAAGTCATTCATACTTTGGGTTCACTAACTTTTTTTTACGCTCTCCGTGGAGCACTTAAGTGAAAGGCAGAGAACTGCAGATGCTGGAATCTCGGTTACCCATTGGGCATTAGGGGAAGAGGAACATTCCCATGGTGAAGGCTGTGCCCCTTCCTCATCAGTGCTTGTCTCAAGCCCTGCGTGCCCCCTAGATTCTACTCCTGGCTTTTCAGAGCTCCCATCCTAGGACTCAGGAAGGCTTCTTCCTTGCCACTCCCAAGTCTATTCAGTACAGTGGGAGGAATGGGGTCCTGTGAAGCAGGAGACTTGGGAAAGATCTGGCCCACGTAATTGTGTGACCTTGACCTGTTTGTCAGGTGATTGACCTGTTCGTGCCTTGATTTTCTCCTTGCTGGTTCCTTGCTCTTTAGTGTTTCTCATCCCAGCACTGGGGAGCCCAACATGTAGGTTTGAGTACAAGCCAGAGTGAAGGCTCCAGGATGTGAGCAGGTGCTAACCTCTGCCTCAGTGTCTTCACGATGGACTACTGGAGGCCATTCTGTAAATCAGGATGTGGTCCTCAGGTTGTGTGGCCCTAGGGGAGACCAGTGACCACTTACTTCTCCTGTCCCTCTTGTCTTCCCATTGATCAGTTGGGCTCCTTGGCCTGTAACTCAATGCTGTATTTCAAGAGTCACTTGATATTTCAGAGTGCTCTATTTGTGCATATCAGGGTGAGAGATTTTCTGAGTTCCAGACAGTCTGACCCATGTTTACAGGCTGTGACAAGGGAGCCTCCTGCCCTCACTGTCACCCTCTCTTTAGTTGCTGTTTTCCTACCTATTTTCTTTTCCTTTTGCCTTTCTTCCAAATCATATAGTTGTCTGTGGGTGTGAGGAGGCTGGGACTCCAAGGGAGGGAATTGCTCTCTGGGTGGGTGCAGCAGGTTCGTTTGACAGCTCCCTAAAGTCAGGAATGTGTGGGTGCAGGTTGCCCCTCCCTGGGGTTTTCCCATGGCATGCATGGCAGGGTCTGGTGGGCACAGCTGCCCTCAAAACATCTGGAACCCACAGCTGTGGGTAGTGGTTAGTGGCACCTAACCTTCCCAAGTTCTCATACATGGACACTGGTCCCACCTTTCACCCATCTAAGCATGTGTGACCCACTGCCTTCCAGCCATTGCGTCTCCCTGGTCCTTCCTTACAGATTGCATAGAGCACATCCTGACTCGCTCAGGAGACCCAATCTGAGTAATATGTTGTTTGTACCATGGAGAAAGGCTGGCCATATCTAACCTTTGCCCCTGAGGGTGAGGGGAGTTCTCCAGGGTTGCCTAGCCAGGCCCTGGGCAGAGATGAGCCTAACTGGTCTGACTGCGATGGTCAGAGCTGGTGGCAGTGTGTCCAATGCTCTGTCTGAGGTCCACCTTCCCTGTCTTTGGGCACAACTCTTATTCTTGGCACCACCTCCCTGCAAGCTCTGAAGGGGCTCTTCCTGGGTCCCGGGTAGTTTTGTGACAGAGCACCCTTGAGAAGCAAGGACTTCTCTAGCCAAGGAGCAGGTCCACAATCCTGGTCCTACCTGCCATCCTGGCTCGAGTCCTGCTTTCCTCACATCCCTGCCTTCCTAGGACTTTCTCACGGACCTGATGATGTCAGAGGTGGACCGCTGTGGGGACAACGAGCACCTCATCTTCCGGGAAAACACGCTGGCCACCAAAGCCATTGAGGAGTACCTCAAGTTGGTGGGCCAGAAGTACCTGCAGGACGCGCTAGGTAGGGAGGGTGCAGGGTGGCGGGGGGATTGAGGGCAAAGCAGGATCCCCAGAACCTCACGTTGCCTCTTCCTGGCCACAGGTGAGTTCATCAAAGCGCTGTATGAGTCGGATGAGAACTGTGAAGTGGACCCAAGCAAGTGCTCGGCCGCCGACCTCCCTGAGCACCAGGGCAACCTGAAAATGTGTTGTGAACTGGCCTTCTGCAAGATCATCAACTCCTACTGGTCAGTGCTGCCCCAGGCGCCCTCCCTAGCTCTGTACTCTTCCTTTTCCAGGAAAGTTAAGCTGTGTGCTTAATCCTTCCTGAGCCCCCACCTGAGGAGGGGCTCTCTGCGTTCTCCCAGTGTGACAGACAAGGAAGCTGAAGGGTTAGACCTACAGGCCTCGCACAGGGTCAGAGTGGTGCTGTGAGTGAACCCTCCTGCCTCATCCACTAAGTCATCCTGCTCCTTGAGAGCATGACTTGTATGGTGTTCAAGCAGAAAGAGCCTGGTGGATGCTCTGTGTGGTGGGATTGCAGCAGTGAGTGAAGCTTACAAGGCCCCACCTTGACACAGCTTCCCTAGCACCACTTGGGTGGCTGGGCAGTTTAACAGAGGCCATCTCATTTGCCCTCAGGAGTTGTGGGCTCACGCTGGCTTGTGGCAGGCCTAGGCTGGGTGTGAGTGGGTGCCTGAACATTAGTCAGGCCACCTAGTGGGGTTGTAAAAAGGAAAGAGGAAGTAGGGATCAGGCTTACGTATAAAGAGGATGGCGAGCTGCTGCCATCCCAGGAAGGAAGAGCAGCTTGTGGTCCATGATCAGGTCCACAGTCAGGCCGGGAAAGTCTGATTTCCCAGAACCCTGCTTGCTCCTGGCAGTGGTGTGTCTAAGAAGGTTGCCTGGGCTTATCCTGACCCAGTGCAGTCCAGTTTGGAATGATGAGCATGGCCATCCAGGAGGACCGCGTTGCCAACCCTGCACTGTGGGTATTCTCCTAGCTCTTATCCTCACGTGCTCTGGCAGCTCAGGGCTAATGATCCCCCCACGTCACCCTCTCTTCAGCCCTGCTCCTGACACCACACCTCCCACCCCCAGCCACACCTCACTGTTCTCTTTGCTTTGGCTTCTCTTTACCCACCCACCCCCACCCTGACTTGCCCGCCTCTGAGGCCTGTCTTCGTATCACCGGGCAGGTTCAGCTCACCTCTTCTGGATGTTCTCTGTCAACCCTGATCCCACTGGAGAGGAAGGATAACCAGGCCTGAGTCTGATTCCTGCATACACTGGGAGCACCCCCAAGGCAAAGCAGGCATTTGCTCAGAGCTGGGCATTGATAAAAGACAGACAGGGCTGCCAGGTAGGAAGGGGGCAAGGAAGTAGCCCGAGCCAGTGGAGTGTAGGCCAGCACCGGCCTAGAAATTGTGCCATGTTATCCATCTCTAGCCCTGGGTGGAGGGGCGACTGGAGAGCTTCGCACTTCCTGGGAACATACTTTCCGCCCCGGGGCTGGGCAGGGTTTTCACTGTCCTCCTTTTCCCAGGAGGTGCCAGGAACACGGGGGAAAAATATCCATGTATGACTTTCCATTTCCCTGTTCTGGCATTTGTCAGCAGCACAGAGGCACCTCTCTGTTCCAAACAAGGCCTGTACAGGGGAAAAGGAGGGCCCCGGGCCAAAGGTGTGTGTTCCCTTCCACCTCCTTAGTTCTTCCTGCCCTTATTGGTTCAGCCAACATCCACTGCAGGACAGTCTGGACTGTGTCCTGGGCCTGGTGGGAAAAGCATTTGGAGTTGATCAGGGTCTTTGACTCTGCAGTAACTCCACGGGTTTGCAGGCTTTGTTGTGGTTTAGGGTAAGGAAACTACAGCCAAAGGAAGGGCAGGGTCCCTGTTAGATCATCAGGACTTAGTGACACAGTCAGGCCCAGATTAAATTGAGCCCTGGAGACTGACTGGTTTACCCAGGTAGGAGGCACATAGTTTTGGGTGAAAGATGAGAAAGTCACTTAATTAACGACAGATTAAGTTGGCCTAGGAGCTAGTCACTCTGTCCATGGACAGAAATTCCATTTCCCCATCTAAAATAGGGAGCTGTCTTCTCGGCTTGTGATTGAGAGTGTTCTTGTCTTCCTCCTCTTTCTGAGCTCTTCCAAAAGCCTGGTTCCTGCTATATCTCTAATGCCAATCACGGGAACCCAAGAGACAGTGGTCTGCTTGCTTGTGTTTTCCTCACTCTGTGACCCAGACGTCTACTTTTTGGAGAGAAAGGCTAAGAGATGAGTCAGAGGTCTTGGGGGAGGGAATCCTGGGTAAGGTGAGAAGAGCCTAGACTAGGAGCCGAGAGGCTTTTCTAGCACTGGCCGGGTCGTTGATCCCAGCCAGGCCGGACAAGAGCCCTACTTTACCTGTCCTCCATTGGGCCTTCAGTGAGCACCTTGCAGCCTGAGAACCAGCCTGGCCCTGGGTCTCTCTGCTCTTCTGCTTCCTGTGCTCTGCCTCCATGCTGAGCACTATGCTGAGGGCTCTTCTTAATCGCTCCCATCTCCCAAGAGCCCTGCTTTGTGGCCACACAACACAGCTCTTAGAAGGCAGAGCTGGGGCTAGAATTGAACTTTGGATTGGTACAGAACTGGGCGTCTGCCTGACAACCAGGCCCCCTTGTCTGCCCCTGCACAGCGTTTTCCCCCGGGAGCTGAAGGAGGTGTTTGCCTCATGGCGGCAGGAGTGCAGCAGCCGCGGCCGGCCAGACATCAGCGAACGCCTCATCAGCGCCTCCCTCTTTTTACGCTTCTTGTGCCCGGCCATCATGTCACCCTCACTCTTCAACCTACTGCAGGAGTATCCCGATGACCGCACTGCCCGCACACTCACCCTAATCGCCAAGGTTACCCAGAACCTGGCCAACTTTGCCAAGTAAGTATCATGTTCCCTGCAGGCAGTTGCTGTTGGAATCACAGGCCATACCACCTTGGTGATGGCCCAGAGGTGGCTGGGGCAGCAGAGTCAGCTTTTTTCTGTCATCTTCTCTCCTTTCTTTCCTCCTGCTTCCCAAAATCCCATCTTCCACAATTACCTCAGTGCTTTAGAAAGTATCAAAACAGGAAGGCACCATCTCCCATTATCTCTCTAGACAAAGACACGTGCTATTTTGATTATTTCCTTAATTTGCAAAAGTGGAATAATTTTTCTTCTGCTTTTTTAAACTAATGGGTTTGGGGGTTTTTTTCTCTGTAAGGATTCTCCTGTCCTTCAACATTGATGAATCTCATTTTTAAAAATGAATGATAACTATGCCTTCAAAGGACACTGACTCAGGTTTTCTGGTTGTCTTTGTTTGTGGATGCTTCCTTAAGCGAGTGGGTGGCAGGAGAATGGCTGGAGCACTCAGAGAGCCCCACACTGGGGCCCCGTTCTGAGATGGGCTCTGATAGCACTGGATGAGTCAGAACTGGTCCCAGCGCTCTCTGAGATCAGCCCTTCAGAAGGGGAGATAGATGCAGAATAAGGAGCGGCACAGCTGATGTCTGTACATCTCTGTTTTCCACAAAAATAAATAACCTGAAATTGAACTGAGAAGGTCTTCTTCTCATGCTGGGCCCATCCCTCAGTGACCACTCAGGACACTCCAGTGTCCACCTTGCAGATGTCCCCTGCACGTAACAGAACTCATGCTGCACAAATGCAGGCCTTTCCCCGTCTTTCTCTTGTTTGTTTAAAAGTGAGAACTGTGTCCATTGCAGTCTATGTTTCTCAGTTGATTGGCTGGGGACAGTCTTCCATGTCCATTCCACAGAGAGGAGCCAGGGAGATGTGCCGGAGTAAGTAGCCCCTTAGCTGTTTCACAGGCCAGAGCATTGGTTGGGCTACAAGGCAGGGATAGCAGGAGTGGAGGCAGGTGAGGTAGGGCACTGTGTGTGACAAGACGGTGAGCATTCTAAGATCCTGGACAGATCATCCTGATAGCAGTGGGGAGAGTTAAGGAGCACAACTGGGAGACCGGGGAGGAAAACATGCCATAATTCAGGCAAAAATTACAAAAGTCTGGGGATGGGCAGTGGGCTACAGGGTTCTGGTTGATTGGGGCCTTGCTGATTGGAGGGAGAAGTTGACTCTTGGGGTTCTAACTCGGTGTCTGGTAGTGGTATATCCATTTGGGATAGAGAGCTCAGGATGAAGACATGAGTCATGATGACAACTTTGGATATGTCCAAGCCTACTGGGTGGAACTCCAGGGAGGTGTTGTGGGTGTACACAACTGCTGTATATAGCAGAAAAATCTAGGGTGAGTGTAGAGCAGAGAACCATCTGCTCTTGAGGCTCTTAAAACTTACAGAAAAAGAGGCAGGAGACTGTGACTGACAGTGCATTTCAGGGGCTCAAGGTGGGTTAGAACAATCCTGATCCTCTGAGAAAAGGTACATGAAATTGGCCATGAAGGAGGACCTGGTGACTTGGGCCAGAGCTGTTTGGCCAGGGCTGGAGAGGTATCCTGGAGAAATAGGAGCTTCTGGACAGGGCCTGGGTCTGGTTGGAGCAACCTTAGGCCCTAAATGCTCACCCTCTCTCTCTCTCTCTTAACCAGGTTTGGCAGTAAGGAGGAGTACATGTCATTCATGAACCAGTTCCTGGAGCACGAGTGGACCAATATGCAACGCTTCCTTTTGGAAATATCCAACC